AAAAAAAAAAAGAAATATTTAGTTAAGAAATGTTAACTTTATTCTTGAGGCTCAGGGCTATATGGTAAGATTTGCATTTTGGAAATTAATTCTAATAGCAAATTAGAGAATGGATTTAATGAAGGACCTAGATAGATAGCAGGAAGAAGTAAAGCTAAACAACTCTGACTTCAGAAAGCTAAATTTGGTTCACATCAAATTAAAATTAAGAACAATTGTTTTAAAATTTTGATACCTTCAAGGAAATAAGCAATATCAAATACCATCTAATTCATTGTGGTCCTCAGAAGCTTTAGCAGCACCTCAGAACTTGTTAGAATAATAAATTTTAGTTCAGATCTATCAGAAACTCCAGATAAGGCATCCAGCAGTCTGTGTTATAAAAAGCCCTCCAGGCGATTCTGTGATTCTGATACACAGTTAAGGGACACGCTTATCTAGATCATCAGTCTATTTCTATGAATACATATTAGCTTCCATCCTTAGGTTATACTGACTTATTTCTAATTTATTATTTTTCAGCCACGTAATGGAAGGAGGTCAGCAGGTTGAACTTAAAATGGTATGTGTTAAATCAATAAAAAAATAAATAAAATGGTGAGTATTTCATAATTCAACCCAAGTTGAAAATGTCTATTGTTTTCAAATATTCACACATTAAGCTCAATATATTTCCATTATTCAATTGCATATATGCATTAATATTCTATATGAACACTACAGTTAGAAGGGCTTTGAGGGCTTTATATGATGGAAAATACCAGTATGTTAGGGCCAGATTTGCTTTGCCCATGTATTCTTCAGACTATGCTACAATATAATCATTGTAATTGATGATTTTGATGATCTCATCATTTGTTATGCAAGCATCAGGGATTGAATTCTTTTTTTTTTTTTTTTTTGAGACAGAGTCTCACTCCTTTGAACAGGGTGGAGTGCCTAGGTAGACTGCTGTGGTGTCATATCTCACAGTAATCGCAAACTCTTGGATTCAAGCAATCCACCCACGTTGGCCTCCCCAAATGTTAGCATTATAGGCATGAGCCACTGCACCTAGGCCAGGGATAAAATTCTTATTGTGGCAATCAGTGTCTACCATAATGGGCCAGGATGTACAGACTGAATGTATGTCTGTGTTCCAAATTACTCATACTCAAAGATTCTTTATAAAAGCCTGTGATTTATCTGTTTCTAGAGAATTATGAAAATATGGAAAGACGTGACACTGTGACTTATTTGGTATTCCCAGAGTTTCCACCTCAGTGCTGGGCATATGATAGAAACTTAGTAGTTGTTAAACTGGCCCCCATTTTTAATAAATTTGTTAATACTAATATTTTATTGGATTATAAATTTTAAATTCCAACCAAAATGCAGATTGATGAATTTTTAGCACCAAAATAAAAGTATATGCTACTATATTATATTCTTAAATCCAGATTCTATGCTGAACATATTTTTGCAGACATATCATTCATTCCTCAATCCTTAAATATATTTAGTTTAAGAATGTAGTCCCAGCTACTTGGGAGGAAAGAAACAAAAACCAAAATGCACCATTTCTAACTAAAGAAGATACTAAACATCAAAATTACACAATATCTAGAAAAAAGATTAAACATGCCTATTAAAGTTTAGGGAACCATATCAAAGTCATATTCAGTGGAAAATTCAAGGCCTTTTTTTTTTTTTTTTTTTTTTTTTGAGACAGAGCCTCAAGCTGTCCCCCTGGGTAGAGTGCCGTGGCATCACAGCTCACAGCAACCTTCAACTCCTGGGCTCAAGCGAGTCTCCTGCCTCCACCTCCCAAGTAGCTGGGACCACAGGGGCCCGCCACAACGCCCAGCTATTTTTTGGTTGCAGCCATCATTGTTGTTTGGCGGGTCCGGGCTGGATCCCGCCACCTTGGGTGTACATGGCTGGTGCCTTAGCCGGTTGAGCTATAGGCGCCAAGCCTCAAGGCCTTTCAAGAAAGAATTAATGAATCAAAAATTTAGCTCAGTAATTCAAAAAAGAGCAAGGCGAATTTCAGGAGAGCAGAGTGATGAAAGTTATAAAAACAAAATAAATTTTTAAAAAATAGTAATGTAGAAGAATTGATAATCAAGCAAAAAAGGGAAATCATAAATACACAAATTAAAAGGCAAAACAGATATAAAAGATGTAAAAATCATAAAAGATCACTTTGCATATCTCTGTGCATATCAGTTTGGAAGCCTGGATACAATGGGGAATTTTCTCATAAAGCAGGTACTACCCAAATTGACCTCAGGAAAAAGAAAAAAACTAAAGAGACTAATGGGCTATGGGAAAAAATTGAAGTATAGAAACTATCCCCTGAAAAAGTACTTAGCCAACAATTTTGAATTTTTTTGTCTCAGAAAAAGGAAAAAAACTCAAAATATTTTTATGAAGCCAGCATACTATTATAAATTTACAAAAATAGTATGGAAAAGAAACTGCAAATCAATCCTACTTATAAATATCAAGGGCAAAAATTTAGAATAAATATCAGTATATTTAAAGAATTATATGACCCCACAAAGTGAAATGTGTTCCAGCAACTGAAGGATGGTTCAACATTAGGAAGTGCATTAAAATATCTCACTATTAGAAGAAAAATTATGTGATAATCTCAATATATGCTTTTGATAAAATTCCATATCAACTTCTGATCTGTTAAAAGATCTTATAAAAAGAGATGAATACTTTGTTGACATTATTTATATGATGGTCCCAAAGTACAGTGGTAGGGTTGATAATGAAACACTTTGTATAATTTCTGTTAATGTCAGAAACAAAATAAGGATATACTTTACCTTATTTAATGTAGTTGTTAATGCATTAGCCATTTTCATTAGACAAGAAAAAAATACAGGCAAAGGAAAAATGTAATGAGCCCATGGGACACAATTAGGAACTTGAATTTGCCAACTGTGTTTGGTATTAACTCCTGTTTCAGAAGAGGACTGATAAATTATGTTCACCTGAGGAATATGAGAAAATACAGTCTTAATTATTTCTTTTTTCAAAGAAGTAAGAAAAGAGAACTCAAGGAAAAGAAATTCTACCTTTTATAATATTACAAATCTACATCTGCATTTACAAAATGTAAACAAAAGATAGTTTAATATTATGTGGGGAAAAATACCTGTGATTGCAACACCCAAGTGAATGTTAGTGTATTCACAATGTGAAATGGAATTGAATGGATGTTTGATCAATTTAGTAAAAAATTCTCTGTGAAGTTGAGAAAAATTGCTTTATTTGGGTTATTTCAAACATTAGGACATACATAGACTAATTTACTCAAGATTTCTTTTTATTTTGCCAATAGAACAACAATTTGATGATCATTTTTCTTTGTTTTTCTTACCTGATTATTTAAGATCTTTTTCTAAAAAAAGATCATATTTATTTAAAAAATGGTTAAACAAAAAATAGGATGATTTGATTGCAAATATACAAGGAAATAGGTACACAAGGAGTAAAGGCAAGTTTTGAAATGTGTTAATAATCTTATTGGCATTAATGATCCTCAGGAAACCACTTTTATGTAGTTAAATACATAAATTTTTGGAAGACACACACGCAGAATAAATGTTCTATTAAAGAGAGATTAAATGATGTATAGATTAAAATATACACACTAAAGAACAGTGGGGAAGTATCTCAGATGCCAGTGTTATTCTATGACAAAATATTTACAGAAATATCTGTATACAGATATTGTACGCACATAGTCACATAGTCATTTACACTTGAACTTAATTCCGTTTTCTTTTTTTACAGGTTGCCAACTAATTTTCCACAGAAGCAATGCTATAGATTGTAAAATGTGCTGACATTTTGTTTGCTTCTCAAAAGCCATCTTTACTCTATTGAAGTTTACTCTATTGAAAATCCCTGTGTTGAAAACATTGTCAATAAAATTGAGATTGTAAATGTTTGATTTGTTGAAAATTAAAAAAGCATCTTAAAATATTGTTTCTTTGTGTTTTAATGATGAATAATATATTAAAAACCTGTAGATAATAATGTTCCTTAGATGCCTGCACCTTCTGATAGTACATATGCTTTTCTAATATTTTCATTAAAGGCACTCATAGAGAGTTTAATTTTAATGAGTTATTTTAGTTTATCTTATTTGAATTTGCAGTGACAAAAATCACTACCTCTTATAAACACCGGAATGCCCAATAGCTATCAGTCTTATACAATGTGAAGACCAACTGAAACCACGCTAATTGTGGGACTGGGCCATGACCCATCCAGTAGTCCACCAAGCAAGTTCTGACTTGCATACCGTAAAATGGATTTCTGATTGATATCAATGTATGAGGGGACTAACCTATTCTACCAGCTCGTAGTCTTCACTTTGTCTTAAAATAAGTTATTTCACCAGGCAACATAAGAAAGGACATCAATTCTATCCATTACTGCAAAGAAAATTGTCTTAGTAGTAGAGGATCATGAACGCACACAGAGAATTTTCCACCAAATCAATGTTTTGTGGACACAGATAACCTCAGATGGAGGTTGAGTTTATCCCCCCCCACACCAGGTTCCCTTCAATTTTTCTCTTTTGACTTCCCTCTTTGTTGCCCACCTCTTCTACCAAGGAGGGTGCAGGCTAATTATAGAGGGTGCCGTAGATTAGGTCTGTAAGTGTATTCTTTTTTTTTTTTCTAAATTGTTGGGGAGTCATTGAGGGTACAACAAACCAGGTAACACTGACTGCATTTGTTAGGTAAGGTCCCTCTTATACTTGTGCCTTGCCCCCAAACGGTGTGTCACACACCAAGACCCCCTCTTTCCCTCTCTCTGCTCTTCCTTTCCTCCTCCTCCCTCCTTCTCTCTCTCTCTGCTCTCCCCTTTCCCCAACCCCCCTACCGTGTACTAGGTCATTAATTGTCCTTATTATCAAAATTGAATACATAGGGTTCATGCTTCTCCATTCTTGTGATGCTTTACTAAAAATAATGTGATCCACTTCCACCCAGGTTAATACAAAGGATGTAAAGTCTCTATCTTTTTAAATGGTTGAATAGTATTCCATGGTGTACATATACCAAAGCTTGTTAATCCATTCCTGGGTTGGTGGGCATTTAGGCTGTTTCCACATTTTGGTGATTCTAAATTGAGCTGGCAATAACAGTCTAGTGCAAGTGTCCTTATGGGAAATGGATATTTTTCTTCTGAGTAGATAGATGCCCAGTAATGGGATTACAGAATCAAATGAGTGGTCTAGGTTGAGTTCTTTGAGAATTCTTCACACTTCCTTCCAGAAAGATTGTATTGGTTTGCAGTCCCACCAGCAGTGTAAAAGTGTTCCCTTTTCTCCACATCCACACCAGCATCTGCAGTTTTGAGATTCTGTGATGGGGGCCATTCTCACTGGAGTTAGATAATATCTCAGGGTGGTTCTGATTTGCATTTCTCTAATAATTAGGGATGATGAGCATTTTTTCATGTTACCCATTCGTCTGTCTTCTTTAGAAAAGATTCTATTCATGTCTCTTGCCCATTGATATATGGGATTGTTGGCTTTT